AAATTTATAGCCAATTTTGAAAGAGATGCATCTTAGCTCAGGAAATTATTATTGAATATGTCAATGCTGTTATAATGAAATGCTTCTTCTAAGTATGTGGTTATTAAATAATTTTTTTTTAAAAAAAAGGTCAGTCTAGGGGCTAGAGGGATGGCTCAGTGGTTAAGAATGCTTGCTGTTCTTGCAGAGGACCTGAGTTCGGTTCCCAGCACCCATATCAGGCAGCTGACTACCACCTGTAACTCTGGCCCTAGGTTATTCAATGCCTCTGGCCTCTGTGGGCAAACACACACACACACACACACACACACACACACACACACTCAATTAAAAAATGAAATAAGCTAGGCGTGGTGGCCTTTAATCCCAGCACTTGAGAGGGAGGCAGAGACAGGCAGAGCTCTGTGAGATAAAGGCCAACCTGGTCTACACAGTGAGTTCTAGGCCAGCTGGGGCTACAGGAAGACCCTGTCTCAAAAAGGTCCCAAAGACACACAGGCTAGTTCAGTTGGGTGCAGCTCAATCCTAACAGCTGGACTCAATGGCTCTTCCTGGAAATAAAATTTGGACTCACCTTAGAATGGACTTTGGACTCTTATCACTTGCTAGTGCTTCTGTAACACAGTCTCCATGCTCAGAACTGTGCCAGGTCCTTGGGTGGAAGATGCTGATGAAGGATTCACTAAGGTTCAGCTCAGTGAGATGAAGGGAACCTGCCCTCTGTGGCTGTAGAGAAGCAACTTCACATTCCAGTTCTAGGATACTTTATAGCACAGAAAATTCTGAGATTGCCTTTGTGGGCCCAGTGCTGATTGTTAAATGGTCATTTTTTTCCCCTTAAAAAAAAAATCGAAAAGGAGCTGGGTGTGGTGTTGCACGCCTTTAATCCCAGCACTCGGGAGGCAGAGGCAAGCAGATCTCTGTGAGTTCGAGGCCAGCCTGGTCTCCATTAGCGACTCTGGGCCAGCTGCGCTACAGGGAGACCTTGTCTCAAAAAGGCCAAAAAAAAAAAAAAAATTGGAGAGGAAAAGAAAGGAGATTTAATTAGGTCATATCTGAAAAACAGTGAGCACTAAAACCAACTCTTCACAAAATATATTGGTGTGCAAAGTAAACAAGTAGTGTGGTTTACCATGGTTGCTTGTAGTGAAGGAAATTTTTCACATACCTACGTGACCAATGTTAGAAATAAAATCTGAGGTCCAAGGACTCCACCAACACCACAGAAAGAATACTCCACAAAGTCAAAGCAACTCAGCAGGGCGGCTTTACTTTTGCAAAAAGGGTGCAGATCATTCAGACTGAGCAAGCTCACCCAAGCAGGAAGTTTGATTATGTTTTTGGCCCTAATGCAAGAGTACTATGCCTTTTCCCCATTGGCTGGGGTCCAGCCTCACAGTCTCTTATAGCTAAGTTTTAAAAGAATCAGTTCAGGGGCTGGAGAAATGGCTCAGTGGCTAAGAGCATTGGCTATTCTTGCAGAAGACCTGGGTTCGAATCTCAGCACCCACGTGGTGGCTAACTACCATCCATAACTCCAGTTCCAGGGGATTCAATGCCCTCTTCTGTTCTCCACCAGCACTGCATGACACAGGTGCACTTACATGCATGCAGGCATAACACTCATACATATAAAATAAAAATATATTTTTAAAAATTTAGAAAAGAATCAGTGCAAAGGAAATGAAAGAAGGGAAAGGGGTTGGAGGAAAGGAAAGGGCTCAGCTGCTCCAGGCTGTCAGATTTGGGGATGGAGCCAGGCTTTTATAGAAACAAAAGTTTTACAGGGTGGGACTAATTTAGAGATTTGAGTTCTTTATCCTAAACCACAGTGTTACAGTGTCTGACAGAAGACTGCTTGTTGAATGTTTCTTACACCAAGAATAGGGGATTGGTCATATAACATATATGTACACAGTGGAAAGGTATGGTGACTACTGAAAGCTATCACAGTCACTGGCCTGAAAAAATACATCTTTAAGAAAAAACAGCAGGGGCTGGAGACATGGCTCAGTGGGTAAGAGCACTTGCTGTTCTTCCAGAAGCCCTGAGTTCTATTTCCAGCACCCACATGGTGGCTAACAACTGTAACTCCAGTTTCAAGGGATCTGACACCATCTTCTGACCTCTGCAGGGCAATGCACACATACGGTGCACTTACATACATGCAGGCAAAACACCCATACACATGAAATAAAAATAATAAATTTTTAAAAAAAGAAAAAAAAAACCCAGCAGAATCTTACTCTTCCATTCACATCAATAAAGGATAAACATTCAAAGTTCAATAGGGCCTCAAACTCATAGCCGTCCTGCCTCAGCCTCCTGGGATTCTGCCATGTGCTGACAGGGAAATACTGAGGTGTCTCTGAGAGTAAAGAATCTTTCTCAGCTCTTGAGTGAGCTTCTAACTCATGTTAGGGTTCTGGATAATCAAGGTCACATAAAACTTCCACTGAGTCAGAGCCCTCCAGTCTCTCAGGAATTCAAAGGCTAAATTCACAGACCATAGAGGGTGATTTTCAGAGAGGTATTTTATTACAAGGAACTTAAGAGA